AGTCTAGTCTATAGTCTAGTCTATAGTCTAGTCTATAGTCTAGTCTATAGTCTAGTCTATAGTCTAGTCTATAGTCTAGTCTATAGTCTAGTCTATAGTCTAGTCTATAGTCTAGTCTATAGTCTAGTCTATAGTCTAGTCTATAGTCTAGTCTATAGTCTAGTCTATAGTCTAGTCTATAGTCTAGTCTATAGTCTAGTCTATAGTCTAGTCTATAGTCTAGTCTATAGTCTAGTCTATAGTCTAGTCTATAGTCTAGCCTATAGTCTAGTCTATAGTCTAGTCTATAGTCTAGTCTATAGTCTAGTCTATAGTCTAGTCTATAGTCTAGTCTATAGTCTAGTCTATAGTCTAGTCTATAGTCTAGTCTATAGTCTAGTCTATAGTCTAGTCTATAGTCGTCTATAGTCTAGTCTATAGTCTAGTCTATAGTCTAGTCTATAGTCTAGTCTATAGTCTAGTCTATAGTCTAGTCTATAGTCTAGTCTATAGTCTAGTCTATAGTCTAGTCTATAGTCTAGTCTATAGTCTAGTCTATAGTCTAGTCTATAGTCTAGTCTATAGTCTAGTCTATAGTCTAGTCTATAGCCTACTCTATAGTCTAGTCTATAGTCTAGTCTATAGTCTAGTCTATAGTCTAGTCTATAGTCTAGTCTATAGTCTAGTCTATAGTCTAGTCTATAGTCTAGTCTATAGTCTAGTCTATAGTCTAGTCTATAGTCTAGTCTATAGTCTAGTCTATAGTCTAGTCTATAGTCTAGTCTATAGTCTAGTCTATAGTCTAGTCTATAGTCTAGTCTATAGTCTAGTCTATAGTCTAGTCTATAGTCTAGTCTATAGTCTAGTCTATAGTCTAGTCTATAGTCTAGTCTATAGTCTAGTCTATAGTCTAGTCTATAGTCTATAGTCAGTCATTAAAACGTGCCTTTAAAATTGGCATGTGGGCTAAAGTTTCCAAGAGATTTTATTGCTCACATTTTATTTACTTGATTTTATTAAAAGCAATTAAAAAGTTTATCGAATTTTTTTACATTTTAAAAGGTCATAACCTTTAAAAATTTTATATTTATTATTTTTTCCTCTAATTTATTAACAATTTTAATTATATAAAAATTTCTGGTAATTGAAACTTATATTACTTTCGAACCAAAAAAAAAAAAATATAAATAAAAGTAACTTAAAAAACTTTCCATTACTTTGGGCAACAATATGGAAAATACATGGAAAATTTAATAAATTTTTGCCTCTTACTTTTTTTACACTTACAATTACTTAAGAAATAACAATAACAAGAAAAACTACAATAAAAACAAGCTGTTGAGGGAGAAAGTCCTTAAAGAAAAATAAAATGCATTTGTTGTTGCTTTAATAAAATAGTTCAAGGTCATTTTGATTTTTGCTCATCAGAGTGGCAGTAATAGTGTTATACACACACAGACATTTGCACTTATACAACTGCAGTTGAGGTTGAGCGATTCAAACACACTGTTGTCATCCGTTGTCTATTGCAAGGTGCAGCAGCAGCACGTAAAAAAAGGATTTACTTCCTTAAAAAAACACATTTTATTTTTCTATTTTAATTTCTTTTAAATGAAAAAAATCAAATAAAAATTATTTATTTTAAAATTATAGACAAATTTATTAAAAATTTTATTGAAAAAGTGGAAAAATTATGTAAATTACAAAAAAAAGAAATTTTAGCATTTTTCTCAATTTTTTAAACAAATACATAAAAATAATTGTGAAATTCAAGTTAATCTGTGTGTGTGTGTGTATGAGAGTTTAAAAGAAAAGCAAAACAACTAACATAACGGATTTTAATTAAATTCATTGAAAAGGCCCAGAGTAAAACAGAGAGAGCGAGAGTGTAAGCGTTTATATATTGAATTTGTGTTAGTTTGTAAGTAAATAACTGTTCAATGGAAAAAGTAAAAAGACAATTTGTTTATTACTGTTCTTGCTGCCGCCATTATTTTAATGTTAAAAAATTTCTATTTTGTGTGTGTGTTTGTGCTTTTGTAGGAGATTCTCCTTTTTTTTACGTCATCACTTGTTATTTATTTTATTGTACACGAATTTATTTAATGTTTATTGTGTAATAAAATTTACTTTTATTTTTTCCAAATAAGCAAAAATAAAAAGAAAGGAAAAAACATTTTAATATTGTTGTTAAAATGTTTGTTATGGTGACAAAATTGCCAAAAAAATATTTGTTCCATTTTTGCATTATTTTGTTGCCAAAACGCGCCAATATTTTTCTCTTTTTTTTTTTTTTGGAGCGTGTGTTTTGAGCTGTAAAATTGTGTTCTCATTTTATTTTATTAAACAAAAAATGTTTTTTAAATTAAATTTATAGTATTTTTTTTTGACAACACTAAATTAAATTATAAATGTGTTAGTTAGTTTTATAAGTCTACTTTTAGTTGTTTCAAATATGTATTATTATTTTATTTAATTTAATAATAAACAATGAACTCGTTATTAATCTAAATAAAAAGTGTTGCCTACTTATGGGATATTTACTTAATTAAACGTCTCACAGTAGTATAGAAATATAAAAAGGGAAAATTATTCTGTAACTCATTTTATACATCAATAGAATGGAAATTAAGACAATTTTCCCTAAAAAGTTTTGAAAAGTCCCAAAAATAATTATTATAACCAAAGTCTTTTGGTTATAATATTCATATTAGAAGTGGGGTTATCGAAACATTCCACATAGAGATTAATAACATATTGAGCCATTTAAAATGAAAACCGCTATATTTTGCAAAAGCCAGACTAGACTATAGACTAGACTATAGACTAGACTATAGACTAGACTATAGACTAGACTATAGACTAGACTATAGACTAGACTATAGACTAGACTATACACTAGACTATAGACTAGACTATAGACTAGACTATAGACTAGACTATAGACTAGACTATAGACTAGACTATAGACTAGACTAGACTAGACTAGACTAGACTATAGACTAGACTATAGACTAGACTATAGACTAGACTTAGACTAGACTAGACTAGACTATAGACTAGACTATAGACTAGACTATAGACTAGACTATAGACTAGACTATAGACTAGACTAGACTATAGACTAGACTATAGACTAGACTAGACTAGACTATAGACTAGACTATAGACTAGACTATAGACTAGACTATAGACTAGACTATAGACTAGACTATAGACTAGACTATAGACTAGACTATAGACTAGACTATAGACTAGACTATAGACTAGACTATAGACTAGACTATAGACTAGACTATAGACTAGACTATAGACTAGACTATAGACTAGACTATAGACTAGACTATAGACTAGACTATAGACTAGACTATAGACTAGACATAGACTAGACTATGACTAGACTATAGACTAGACTATAGACTAGACTATAGACTAGACTATAGACTAGACTATAGACTAGACTATAGACTAGACTATAGACTAGACTATAGGACTAGACTACTTAGACTAGACTATAGACTAGACTATAGACTAGACTATAGACTAGACTATAGACTAGACTATAGACTAGACTATAGACTAGACTATAGACTAGACTATAGACTAGACTAGACTAGACTAGACTATAGACTAGACTATAGACTAGACTATAGACTAGACTATAGACTAGACTATAGACTAGACTATAGACTAGACTATAGACTAGACTATAGACTAGACTATAGACTAGACTATAGACTAGACTATAGACTAGACTAGACTAGACTATAGACTAGACTATAGACTAGACTATAGACTAGACTATAGACTAGACTATAGACTAGACTATAGACTAGACTATAGACTAGACTATAGACTAGACTATAGACTAGACTATAGACTAGACTATAGACTAGACTATAGACTAGACTATAGACTAGACTAGACTAGACTATAGACTAGACTATAGACTAGACTATAGACTAGACTATAGACTAGACTAGACTAGACTATAGACTAGACTATAGACTAGAGACAATATTTTGTAGGAAACTTAAAGGCTGTGATCTCAGATAGAATAGCGTGATCAAGCGGAATATTAGAGCTAATATCCGTAGGAATCCATTTTTAAATTGGGATACAAATCAGGCCGGTTAACAACTAGTTTTAGAATAAATGATTATAGCCATTATTCATTCTATATTGGTTTGAGGATCAAAGATGTTTGTTCCAAATTTATATCTTCAAAACGGGTTCTGTCGTAGCGTTATGGTGTCGACATTCATTCTATGGAATGGTCCTAGAATCAGTCATTTAATCAATAGTTTTTATACGAATTTGTCACTCTCGTTACTAGAGTACAGTTCTAGAACTAGTAAATTTTTCAGTGTTTTTTGTTTGAAGCTGTAAAGATTAAAACCAATCTTGAAAAGCTTTTTCTTTTTAGTGCAATTTTAGCATCAATTGTAAGACTTCTTGCAGTCTCATTTAAGCTTCTACAGTAAGACTTCTTAAAGTACTATTTTAAATGCAATCTTTAGTCTTCTTGAAGTATTATATTAGCTTTACCTTAGCATATGTAGTAGATCTTCTTCAGACATGTTATTCGTTAAAGTCTTCAGTAAAGCTTCAATCAGGCATGTAACTTGTAAAGCTTCAATCAAGGCACGTTTTAAAGGCAAATTTTAATGAAATGATGATCATTTAAAGATGTATAATTAGCAACAACTTGTAAGGTTCTAACTATTTAAAATCAGCTTTAATTATTATATTTTTAAGATAGTTGGAATAGCTTTAATTTACGTTTATGAATCACTAATTGGTTTTAATTTAGATTCATTTTATAGACCTAATAGAGTGCTGTTTTAGATTCTTTGAACAACTTTAATTACAGATATTTTAAAGTCTCAAATCAGCTGAAATTTTGAATTCTTTTTAAAGTTGAAAAGTTGGGCATCTTCAATTATTTAATTGTTTATTTTAATATTATTTCATTTAACTATTTTTTATTACAAACTTGTTGTTTTCTCCTATAATTACAGGTGGTGTCGGTACCGGTTGCGGCAATATTTACTTCACCGGTAATGGTGATTTAATGACCAGTTCAGCCACAGCTGATGAACTAGCTTTAGCTAATGCGGCCAGTTTACAAAGTGTTAATCGTGCTCCTTCAACGTTTTGGCAATATTCAAGTAGAGTTTGATTTTAATATTAAACATTAAATTTCCTCTTAAAACAAATTAATCACAATTGTATTTGATTTCCAAAACAGATGCGCTTCCCATTGAATCAGTGATATCGATGTCCCCCGCTACTGTAGGTTTACAATACTCCCGAGAGGCAAGTCGAGGTCAAGTTGTTTTATTACCAGCCACAGCAACACCTTTAGGTAAGTTAGACAACAGGCAAATGAAATGAAGAATATGTTAATATTTTGTTACAAAAAAAGAGTTTCTTAGAAGGAGAAGGAATTAAAATAATTAAAAGAAAATATTCGATCTTGTTTTCTTAAGAATCGGGGTAGTAATTAGCAGTATTTATTATGTTTGAATTGACCTTCTTTACTTAAGAAACTCTTTTTTAAACAAAATTCAATATCAAATTATTGCTTCATATTTTTTGTAAAAAAGTTAACTATTATGCAACATATAACTAATCTGCTTAAATTCCCTCTCTCTTTTTTCCCCTCCACCATATTTGCCCCATTTTTTTCTGTCATCCATTTACACCAACGCAAAAAAAAAATTGTTTTCTGCTACCACCTTCATTCCAATAAAACACACCATTCATACATAAATGTTACAAAAATTAAATTTTAAAATTTATTCGAAAAAAAAAAAATCTAAAATAATTCTTTTTCATTTTCGCTTGTGTAAAATCAATAAAATTAAAATAAAAAAATGAAAACTTCCACAAACCAAAAAAAGGATTATCAAATTATCCAATTCTATGTACACCCACAGATCCCTTCCAACAGGCGGCTGCAGCGGCCTTTGTCTGGCCCTCCTACATACCGCAGGGTACGGCACCGGCCACTTTACAACCGCCGCCAAACTTTATATTTCCCTCCATGAGTCCACATTCAACGTTGCAAGCGGCGGCAGCAGCACAACCTTATGCTACGTCATTGCAGCTCTTGGGTTCAAACTATTTAACAGCCGCGGCGGCTGCAGCAGCAGCAGCGGCTGCCACTTCCACATTGTGCCAGCATAATCAACAGACAAATAGTACCAGTAGTTCGATAAATTTAAGTTTAGGTGGTTCCGTCTCTGGCTCCAGTTCCGGCACTACCCTGAGCAGTTCGAGTAGTTCGACGACGACGCGTTTTATGAGTTTGGCAACGACCGGTGGTGGTGGAGGCTCCATCAACGATACGGGTCAGTCGAAGTCATCGTCCCACAAAGCTTTAGCACCAGCTCCTTTACCCTTACCGCCACCTCCGCCGACACTAGCTTTAGCCACCGGTCAATCATTGATAACTTCAAGCCATCAGCATGGTCACTCAGTGCCCCCGCCACTGTTAATACCGCCCTCAGCTTTAAAAATGGAAGAATGGAGTAGTGCTGACTTTATGGCTGCCGCCGCTTCAAAGACCACTACCACAACTTTGACGGCAGCAGCCTTAAATGTGCCACAACCGCCGCCACCACCTCCACCCGCTCACTTTGATCACAGGGACAAGAACTCAGCTCTAACAACGACTCACAGTGCAACGAATTTGTTGGAATTATCTGCTCCTAATACACAAGCTTTAAATCTAATGCGTTTACCCACCCCTCCCACATCGGCTACAATTGAATCTGCGGCCGTAGCAGCCGCTGCATCAGCTGCTGCTACACCCAGCCATTTGTCAACACAACTTTTATTCCAGACTGCTACCCCCTCGCCCACACCGACATTGCTCAATCTTTCTGCCACCTTAAATCGTGTAACGGCCGCTCAGTCATCTCAGAATAGTCCGAATGTAACGACTACCTTAGCGCCTCTGGCAAACACATCGAGTCCACTTAATAGCACCACAACTGGTGGATATTTAAACTGTTCCAATACAGGCGGCAACGGCACTACATTAACTGCCAATATTGGGCCACCCACACCCTTGGCGGATGACATGCCAGCTATGCAATTCAAAACCAATACACAACACTTGGACACTTCAACTTCCCCTCAAATAGTGGTGGGCGTACCACGTATAGTTAATCCAGCTCTTCCCAACTCCATAACTACTTCACAAACACATACTTCTGCTTCAGCCCCGCCTCAGATGCAGGATGTTAATATACAAACGGATACTCCGGTCTGCAGTGAAGACGAGAATTCATCTTGCCCTCTTAATTCAACAACAGCATGCAATGGTGCTGCCAACTCTGCAGCTACGGAACAATGTACAACAGCTCAATGCACACCACCTCTAACACAAAACGATGAATTGTATCATGACTCCGAAGCCCAACAGCCATTAGAACTCACTAAACCGTCACCGCCTAATAACAATTGTCACAGGGCAGAGACACCACTGGTGGAGAGCTCCTCACAACTGCTGCGATCAGAAGAACAAATGCCCATACTTAAGAGTCCTATTAAACAGCAAACGCCAGCACAACTTAATGAAACAAACGAAGAGCAGCAGCAGCATATTCTCCCCCCAAATGAACAGCATCAGCTATCGTTAACACCCACCATTACCAGTAGTACCGCAACGCCGCATACTCATCCAGAGGATTTGACTGGTTTGGAACTATTATCCAACATAAGCACTAGTACTTTGGCCAAAACTGTAACTATACGAGTGAAACAAGAACCTCTGGATGCGATAAACGAATCAACCATGTGCCATCTAACTGCTGCTGAACAACAACCAATGATGGAATTAAATTCCAACCATATGGACCCTCAACTAAGTGAGCAGCCAAACCCAATGATTTTACATGCGGATAATTTGCCAACTCCACCCTCGCCGCAACCGCAGTCTCCCACACTAACACAACACCATGTTATGTCTACGCATTCGCCAGTGGCCAACTTAGCACCAAGTGACGACGTTGAACCATTGGGCGGTTTAAAGTTGTTGTGTGCTTTGGCCGAGCAGAGGATACAAGAGGAGGAAGAAGTTCAAAGTACCACCATGAATAATGCAGCAAATGGTATTTTCCGACCACCTACGGCAAACTCACCACCTCAACACTTTAGCTCCTCGTTTACGCAAAATAACTTTGTAAAACCAGTCGCTAGCACTTTCTCACCCTTGGAAACACAAAACTCTACATTTCCCTCATTGGAAACACTGGAATTGCCGTCGACCAGTAGCAGTGGTAATTGTTTCTCTGCTCACATAACCGAAGCGGTAGTGCAAGAAAGCCCAGTTAAACGTAAAAAGCATAAACATTCCAAATCTTCAAAATCATCGTCTTCGCTAAATGGCTTGGGCTCCGGCGCCGGTGGTAGTAGTGGCAGCAGCAGCAAAAAGTCCCAAAAGTGCAGTAAGAAGAATAAAAAGAAATATTCCAAGGAAAAGAAACGTCACAAACTATTGGCTGAAGCCCAACAGACCGATTTGGATTTTGATGATCCGCAATTGCAGCAGGAGTTACAAAATGCTTTTCAAAATTGTGTGGATCCAAGTTTGCAACGTATGGGTAAATGGCCAACACCACAGGAGATATTCAGCATTATGGAGAATAGTATGCGGATGCGTTTGGCCGATATAACCAGACAATATCGCAAGAAGAAACGCAAATTGGATGAAATATCCAAGAATAAAAAGAACAAAAAGAAATGCTCCAAATTGCAGGCAAATCAGCAGATATCTTTGGTGGGCAATTCAGCGCTTTCGTTGGCGGTCTCGGAGAGATCTTCTTCATCTAATGCGGTTGTCGGACCAACTGCTTTGTCCTCATCCCCGCTATGTGATTACAAATTTGGTAAATTTACTACGAAATCTTCCAGCACCAGTGCCACCACAACATCCAGCAATTATTTGGCACCCTCCAGTTTCATACGCTTTGCTACCGATGCGAACAAGTCTCAAAATCATCATCACCTCAATACACATCCACAATTCCCACCACCTCCAGATTTAGAATTAGAAAACGACAATACCACCTCTAATATACCTACCAATAGCACAACTACTCTCATCTACAAGCCGGTACGTTTGGAACCCAGTTCGCTAGATCAACGTTCGATTACGGCTGCCCATTGTGTGGGGGCTAGTAGTGGTGGTACAAGCAATGGCGTTCTACGTTTAGCCCAAAAACATGCTTCCTCCGAAAAACATTCTCACGTTATAGTCTGCAAAGAACCTAAACTAAGCAGTTCTACTTCCTCACGCCGCTCAAGTGGCAACGAAGATCTGGATCAGGAAGATGACGATGCAGACGAAGAAGTGGAAGAAGCATTAGCAGCAGACGATGATGACAATCTTGACGAGGATGATATCGATGATATGCCTCATAATCGCACCAGTTCCGATAATGAAATGTCCAAAAATGTCTGTGTGGCTAAACCGCGAAAAATGAATCCTATCGATCGTTCCCTAATGCTAACACAAGATCATTTGTATCGCAAAGAAACGCGTGTACTCACCGATATGGGTGGTCTTTTCTATGCGGGCATTATGAAACCACTACAGCCACCCGATGTCTATGCCATCACCTTGGACGGTGAAAGAGGCAATAAATCGCACATTATGTCGAGAGAAGAAATATTTAAGGATACGGTAAGTGTTGAATAAGTTAAGTTTGATTTACTTATAAGTAATTTAGTTTTGTTTAAGGGGGCGTTTTAAAAGTTTTAGAAAGTCTTTATAAAATATACCAATCGAATGGTTTGAGTTGTGCTACATTCAAATCTTACTTCAGAATTGGTTCATCACCTCAGGTTTTAGAGATACCAAGAAAATATAATGGCATTTTTTTTAACATTATTTAAAAGAAGACTAAACTTTGTGCTGTGTCTTTAGTTATTTGCTGATCAAAAACAATTTTATTTTTATATAAAATACAATATTTTGAAAATTTTACAGTTTACATATTAATTTTTATGAATTTCTATACTAAACCGCTGACAGCTTCCTTTCGATTTTTAATAGATTTCTTTGCATTTTACTGCCTGCCACCGCAATAGTACCGATCCATTTGAGAACTATACGAATTTCTTAATTAAACCAGTAACAGCTTCATTCCAATTTTTAAATGATTTCCCTGCCTTTTGCCACCATAACAAGGCCCGTCCATAGAGTAAAGCTTTAAAATCTTTTAGAGCCAAGGCATCACTAATACCTTTACGCCTTTTATAGCTCTCTATGGCAAACACAAAGCCTTCAAAATTTTCATAGATATTGCCTCCAAAACGCATGTCACTATTGCTTAAACGTTCCAAAGCATAGATTATTTGACGAACAAACATGTTGTTATTTGTTTTTCCAAGTTTTTATTCCTTTTAGACAAAATCTTTAGAATTCCGTATTACACCGGCCGACTGCTGTTACAGAACTGTGTGCAAACTGATTGGCATCGTGCATATCATGCTTGCATATCGTATGGTTTTCTGATCTCATTTCACCTTAAATAGTTTAAGTAAGCCAAATTCGCCACTACGAAAGAGAACACTGCAACATTTTAGTTAAGCGAACGAACATTCCATTCCATTCCATTCTATTTTTTTTTGTATATTTCACCTAGCTGCCTAAAAATTTGTTGTTATGAATAATTTTCCATGAACTGTTCACATTTCATATTTTTGTTCGTACATTGATTTATAAACATTTGTTTGTAAATAGTTCGTTAACTCGTTTACTATTGGAGATATTCTGATGAAATTTTACTTATTTGGAGCTGAGATTTTTTCTCTGCTGTCTGTATTCTCTATGCGCAGTTATCCAGACAGGGTAATGTGAGACATGCAATCAAGTCTTAATAGATCACTTTCGTGAGAATTGAATATTGTCACAAAGTTCATGTGACACGGAAACCAGAAGCCAATAGGGCAGTCCAGTTATTGGAGACGTCCCTTCGGGGTACACGTGGTGGCTGTGGTTTAAACCCAAACTCGAGAGATAGATTCTTATAATTTCGATGTTGTTGCCGAAAATACTGTGTAGCTAAGCGTGTGAAGTGTATATAATAGGGGATGGATGTATGGGGCCTCATCCACCCGTAAAACTAGAGTGAATATGTCGTTTGTTTTTAGCAATGAATGTGTTGGATAAAGTGTTCTTGGTTGAATGGTGATGGTTGTAAGGTATCTTATATAAGCGATACTATTTAATTTTCCTTCCTTGAGCGGTATGTTCAGGGTTTACATAACAGACTTATCATAGTGTGTTCTCTGTGAGTAAGAACTTGACTTTGGCTTATTTGATAGATACGTATTTCGGTCTACCGATTTCGTCTCTAGGTGTTCAGCTCGCGAACCAACAGTTACCATCCCATCTACGTGGTTGTAAATGGGAATAATGTTTTTGCATCTCGGAATTTACTTAACGGGACAGCAATGGCCTGAGATTATATAGAACGTGTACTTTAACAAAGTGCTTGTACATGCACATGTACCATGTATGTATGTATGTATAATTTCCACCTAAAATGAATCACTATTTATAACTCGTAAACTAACTGCATTTTTATAAATTTTTTGTCAGCATACAACATAGGATGGTTATGATGACATCATGTCTGTTAATAACACAAAGAACAAAGAAATTACTAAAATTTCGATCACCTGATTTAAGCACATCCAAGAATTACAAATTTGTTTTTGCGTCGTTTCTATATATGAGGTTTATCTCTAAAACTAAAGAATATATACACATATACAGTGTCATTCAAAACTAACTGAACAAAGTTACTTGTTAAATATATTATTCGTATTAAATAATCTGCATCTTGGGGTTTTTACTATAAATAAAAAATGTGCTACCATTAAAAACAAAGAATATATTTATTGTATTCAATATGTTTAAATGAAAAATGTAAAATAAATAATACATCCATCAAAATGATATGAACGGAATTTTCCCTAATTTTTTATAAAACAAGCTCATTTGATTGCTTTTGATGAGCTTCTGTTGACTTGTTTTAGAAGTTACCTTTTTCGGGAGTTGTACGTTTCATCATTCATCAGTAGGTTAATTAAACGAAGGAAATAAATCAGTAATTTCGGAACAGTTAGTCCGAACTGAATGAACTTTCTTATGCGTAAAGTTTTGAATTTTGATCTCGGCGGGTGGTGTGGGACTAGAAGTTTTTTTTAAAAAAAAAACATCACTGCTCTGATTTATTTGTGCTTCTATTTCAAAAGCTCTGTACTATACATATATGAAATCGTCTAGTCGAGGATTTCTGAAAACCTCCTTACAACTAAAAATTGTCTCTTATAGCTTGCGATATATGTACACAGAGGTAAAACGTTAAGTTAAAAGTCGAAATAATAGACTTTTAGATGACATAACAAACTTTTTAAATGAAGTTGTCTTGACGCAGTAATAATGTATCAAATATGACCAAAAACTGTGTTTTTTTTCTCAAATTTTAGGACTTGATAACTCAAAAACCAGATCTAATTGAGAAATTCTAATGTCAGACTCGGATTCAGCTGCTCAATCCTTAGTATACTTTAGTTTAGGGGTTTTGATTTTTTTTTAATTTTGTTGCTCTGTGTTATTTAGGATTAAACTTTGTTCGGTAAGTTTTCGTCCGCACTGTATTTATCTATAAAATATGGGACTATAAAAATGCGTTTTTTTATTCAATGTTTTACAAAAAATTAACTTTATTTTGAATCATTTAAATTGATAAAAATTTTGTATACATATATATTATTGTTTTAATAAATGTTTTAAAAAATATAAATTTTATTGTTTTTGGCATTTATTTGAATGCCTTAACTAAACCGGAAACAGCTTCATTCCAAGTTTTAATTGAATTCTTTGCCTCGTTCCACCACAACAATGCTCGTCCATAAAGTATAGTTTCAAAATCTTCTAAAGCCAAGGCATCGGTAATAGATTTACTTCTTTTATAATTTTCTATGCCAGATACAAAGCATTCAACATTTTCATAGCCATTGCCTCCATAACGCATATCGTTATTTGGTAAACGTTCTAAAATATGTATTAATGTACGACGATGCATGTTGAAATGCTGTTTTTTCTAACGAGTCTTGTTTTCAATATTGCCGGTCTATTTAGAGAAAATCTTCAGATTTCCGTGTTACACCGACAAGAGCTTATGTTTTACTGTGCAAATATTGAGTGCATTATAACGAAAATGTGCACAGACGCTCTCTTGCTTTTGATCATGATAGATTCGTGTGTTCTCATTGACTTAAATAGAAAAATGAAAACGAAATAAGACAAATAGCCACAAAGAGAAAATACACAAATTTAAGTTAAGATATGAAAGAGTTCTTACTTGCTCTTTTAACAGTTATTTACAATTATTTTCTAATAGACAAGAGTTGGGGCTTTGGGTTCTCATAATAATGAGATAATAATCTGTTATAGTTTTGCATTCATTATGTACATACATACATATATTTCTCTAATATTGCACAAGACTAACACATATGAAAACTTTTTACATTTGCAGATTCTAGAAATGGCTCCCAAGACTGTTGAAGATGTACCGGTGGGTACACGTTTATGTGCGTATTGGAGTCAGCAGTATCGTTGTCTATATCCCGGCCGAGCCATAGAAAGTGAGTCTTCCGATGATGGTGTTACATCACAAGAATTTGTTAGTGTCGAATTTGATGACGGTGATAGCGGCAGGATCCGCTTACAAAATATACGTTTATTACTCAGTGATTATCCACAAGTTGGTAAGTTTATATCGCTGTCGGTAACCTTTTATTTGTTGCATGCAAAATTCAAATTCATTCCATAACCAACATTCACTTATATTATTCACATAAAACATACATTACGCATACAATACATACATGCATTTTATTTTTGATTTCGATACATATTTCTAGTTTTTTTTTTTTTAAATTAGAATTTTTTGTTTCCAAAAAGAAATAGAATTTGAAAATTTAGTTACTCTGCATCTTAACCCAACCATTTTATAGCATGTTTAGCCCTTAGGGGGCCGTGGCTAAAAACTTCGTTTATTTGGTAGATCGAAAGCCAATTTGCAGTCCGTTTAATGGCTGCAGAATACCACTTTGGTCAGTAAGTTAAAAAAAAACTTCGTTACATTGTGCACTACGTAAATCCCACATAAATTCTTTCTCATTGTAAATCTTATACGATCCATTATAGAGGATTAATTCTATCAGATTAGGAAGGTATTGGAACAACACGAAGATGTCATAACTATAGATTGATCTATAGTCAATTATAGAGGATTAATTCTATCAGATTAGGAAGGTATTGGAACAACACGAAGATGTCATAACTATAGATTGATCTATAGTCAAGACAATAGACTGGTCTGAAGTCAAGACAATAGACTGGCCCATATAGTCAAGACCATATAGTCTTCATAGTCTTGACTATAGACCACTTCATAGCTTTGGCTATAGACAAAACTATAGACTGCTCTATAGTAAAAACTATAGACTACTCCATAGTCAAGACTATAGTCTAGTTATAGTCAAGACTAAAGTCTAGTCTATAGTCAAGATTATAGTCTAGTCTATAGTCAAGACTATAGTCTAGTCTATAGTCAAGACTATAGTTTAGTCTATAGTCAAGACTATAGTTTAGTCTATAGTCAAGACTAAAGTCTAGTCTATAGTCAAGACTAAAGTCTAGTCTATAGTCAAGACTATAGTCTAGTCTATAGTCAAGACTATAGTCTAGTCTATAGTCAAGACTATAGTCTAGTCTATAGTCAAGACTATAGTCTAGTCTATAGTCAATACTACAGACTGGTCTATAGACAAGACCATAGACTGGTCTATAAACAAGACTATAGGCTGGTCTATACACAAAACTATAGGCTGGTCTATAGACAAGACTATAGGCTGGTCTATAGACAAGACTAGACTGGTCTATAGAAATGACCACAGACTGGTCCATATACAAGAGTATAGACTGGTCTATAGACAAGACTATAGACTGGTCTATAGACAAGACTATAGACTGGTATATAGACAAGGCTATAGACTGGTCTATAGACTGGTCTATAGACAAGGCTATAGACTGGTCTATAGACAAGACTATAGACTGGTCTATAGACAAGGCTACAGACTGGTCTATAGACAATACTACAATATTGTCTATAGTCAAGAATATAGACTGGTCTATAGTCAAGACTAAAGACTGGTCTATAGACAAAGCTATTGACTGGTCTATAGACAAGGCTACATATTAGTCTATAGGCAAGACTGCAAAATGGTCTATAGTCAAGACTATAGTCAGGTCTATAGTTAAGACTACAGACTGCTCTATAGTCAAGACTACAAAACTACAGACTCGTCTATAGTCAAGACTATAGATTGGCCTATATAAACGACCATAGACTGGCCTATAGACAAGACTATAGACTGGGCTATAGACAAGACTATAGACTGGTCTATAGACAAGACTATAGACTGGGCTATAGACAAGACTATAGACTGGTCTATAGACAAGACTATAGACTGGTCTATAGACAAGACTATAGACTGGTCTATAGACAAGACTATAGACTGGTCTATAGACAAGACTATAGACTGGTCTATAGACAAGAATATAGACTGGTATATAGACAAGACTATAGACTGTTCTATAGACAAGACTATAAACAAGACTATAGACAAGATTGTAGACTAGTCTATAGACAAGACTATAAACTATAGACAAGATTGTAGACTAGTCTATAGACAAGACTATAAACAAGACTATAGACAATATTGTAGACTAGTCTATAGACAATACTTGTCTATAGGCTAGTCTATAGACAAGACTATAGACTGGCCCAAAGTCAAGACTAAAGACTGGTCTATAGTCAATACTTGTGGACTGGTCTATGTACAATACTCTAGTCTTAATAGAATTATTTGGGGTTTTAGTTGTCAATGTTGTTCGGAGAGTGGTGGGCAACTTCTTGGGTAATTATTATCTAATAACCAATTGAGAAACGTTCTTGAAACGAGAATTTATTTTATATAGTTTTTAGAAATCATAAATTAAGTTTAAAATGCAAACCCAAACAATTATTAATAATCTAGACATTTAGGACATAAGAAACATACTAAAACTTAGACTTTAGAACTTTCTAACTAATCGCTTAAGTCATATATGTACATTTTGGAGCATAAATTTCATTAAAAGTACTTAACTACGTAATTTTGTTTAAACAAACGAAAACAAATCTTATTTTATCTTTTTATTTCTCTCTTTTTTGTTTCTTTAAAAATACTTTTACCTAAAAACTACTTCCCACTTCCTCCCAAAACTCAAAAAAATAAAATAAAACTTGAAAAATAAAAACAAAAACTACTACTCCAACACAACACAGAGTACAACGATAATCCCCTCTACTCTTTAGGCAAACACAAAAAGTCCAGTGGCAATAAAATCTCCTCAAACAATGAGTCCGATCATCAGCAACACAGTCATGGCGATGAGGCGGATGCCGATGTTGGTGGTGATGCGAAAGCGTCAACGAGGAAAAATGGTTCCGGCAGAGACTATCATCAGGCTACAGCCATGGAGATATTTGCCGCCAAACGTAGTGAAAAGAAACGCAATAAGAGTCTGAAAAAGAAAGCTCAATCGCAAAATAATGCCAACGGCTCTTTGGTAAATGGTAAAACAGGAAGTGGTGGTGTCTCTACTTCTACAACTGATGTTGGCGGGCTCAATAATGGTTCGTTGGAATCTGCGGCAGAGTGCGGTCGTAAACATCACAAACATAAGAAACGAAAGAAACACAAGAAACATCGTAAAAATCTTATGGAAATTGGTATAGTCTCCGAAATGGATAAAACCACCTATAAAACCTCATCGTCAACAATATTGACATATAATAAGAAAACTGAACGCACATCGCATACCGCAGCAGTAGAACAGAAACCGCATCATCATTATACAAACAACACCCAGTCCCAATCGGCAGCAGCCCAGATGGAAGAAGAACAAATGGATGATAATGAGGCAGAAGCGGAAGAGGAAGCAGAGGATGAAGAAAATTATGAAGAGGATAATACTCAAACCGAAGACTCACAAATGGCTGAAGATAATAATCTTAATTTATCTAGAATTAAACAAGAATCAAATGGTCATAGTACGGCGGCTAATACTTCAGCCCTAAATTCTTCAACAGCTTCAATAAAAGTTAAAACTGAACGTTTAGATTTGGAAGAGGAAAGTACTTCGAATTTAATGTCGGAAATATCAGATGAGGTAACTAGTTGTTGCTCTTTGAAATAGAGTTTGGCTTTTTAATGAAATTTTTCTTTCTTATTTTTTTTTTTTTCAATCAAGGCCAAAGGTGATGACATGATTGAGCATAACAATTCAAAAGGCAGTAAAATTGCTGCTTTTCTACCGGAACGCCAGTTGTGGGGTTGGCTGGGTACCGCCTATTGTAAATTTGGCAATAAGGGTTCGAAGGGTCGAATTCGCAAGCAATTTTATAAGACTATTAAAAGGGGCAAAGAAACTATTACTGTAAGTAGTTCGACATATTAAGTATTTTTCTGTATTATGAACTTTTCTAAGTAGTCAATAAAATAGTCAATAGATGAATAAATGGATTAGTCAATAGACTAGTCACTAGACTAGACCATAGGTTAGTCAGTAGACTAGACCAGCGGTTCCCACCGTTTTTTACTTCGCGGACCCCTTGAGGAATTTATTTAATTTCACGGACCCCCATACATATTTTGATATCTTATTGTTATAAATAATTGTTCATCCGAAAATTGTCTTAGTCCTGGTCCATAAACCCTATGAAATATTCCCGTACATTGAGAATATTTAGTATTTCGGAGATGTTTTCAATTGCATGGTTTTAATTATAGAATGACTTCTAACATGATGTTTAATTTTATGATCGTGAGAGCTTTCATGTTCATTTCTCGTCAAGGTAGCGAAAAGGTTACTTTATCAAGTATTGTCGACATGTGCTTAAAGAGTCATGTTTCTAATTTTTTTTTGCGATTGCATAGGAGTGAGCTGAGTATGTACGCTAAGTTTTCGGGAAAATATGTGAAAGTTAGACTTCTTCGATGTTGTTGCGGAATGCATTACCACATAAAATATGACCTGAACTCTTTGCGAATGTACTGTGAATTTGGATCTTAAATTTGAATTTTAAAATACCTACAAATTATTTTACTGCGTGGTTTTGACTATTTACGCAAAACGCTATGAATTTTCTGATGTTGATTTAATAACATTGGACAACAAAATGAAGTTAAAATCTGTGTATCACGTCGGAATGGAATATTTATATTTAAAATTAACTAGATTAACACTTTTGCTTACAATTTAAAAAAATATTATGAAATGTGACCTAACTTCATATTCCGGGATACCAGTATCAGTATTTAATTCTAAGGCAAATCATTATCCGTCTGATATAAAAACATTTATTTCGATACATATACATTTATAAAAATTACAAATCACGTAATATGTACTTTACTTTATAAAAGTGAAACGATAAATTTGTAGGGCCTAGCTTCATCCTGATAAACGACCGAAACAATAAAATTCAAAAAGTCGCCAACAAATCTGGGATTATTGAATAAAAATTGTGTATTTTACTATTTATGAAAAATTTGGAGATATTTTTAATATTTTCTAACATATAGAGAATATTTTTTATTCATTATTTTTTTCTTTCGTCTTCGCGGACCCCCTAGGATTTTGCTACGGACCACTAGGGGTCCGCGGACCCCCTTTTGGGAACCGTTGGACTAGACCATAGGTTAGTCATTAGTCTAGACCATAGACTAGTCAGTAGATTAGACCATGGACTAGTCAATATACTACTTAATATACTACTCAATAGATCATCAATTAGGCATCATTTTTAGTCAATAGAATAGTTAATAGAATAGACCATAGACTACTCAATAGACTAGACTATAGACTAGTCAATAGACTAGAACATAAACTAGTTAATAGACTAGTCAGTAGACTAGTAAACAGACTTGTCAGTAGAATATTTAGTAGAACAGTTAATAAACTAGTCAACATACTTATCAATAGACTAGTCAATAGACCATACCATAGACTAGTCAATAGATTAGACCATAAACTAGTTAATAGACTAGTCAGTAAAACATTCAATAAACTAGTCAGTAGACTAGTCAACAGACTAGTCAATAGGCTAGTCAACAGACTAGTCAACAGACTTGTCAGTAGAATAGTTAGTAGAATAGTTAGTAGAATAGTCAATAAATTAGTCAACATACTTATCAATAGACTAGTCAATAGACTATACCATAGACTTGACCATAGACTAGTCAATAGACTAGACCATAAACTAGTTAATAGACTAGTCAGTAAGACGTTCAATAAACTAGTCAGTAGACTAGTCAACAGACTTGTCAGTAGAATAGTTAATAAATTAGTCAATATACTTATAAATAGACTAGTCAATCGTCCTATTAATAGACTAGTCCATACACTAGACCATGGAGTATTCAATAGACTATACCATAGACTTGTCAATATACTGGCTAGACCATTGACTAGTCAGTAGGCTAGACCAGAGACTAGTCAGTTAACTATACCATAGACTAGTCAATATACTACTCAACTACTACTACGCATCATATTAGTCAATATAATAGTTAATAGACTAGGCAATAGACAATATCATAGACTAATCAATAGATTATTCAACAGACTGTTGAATAGAATTGTCAATAAACTAGTCAGTAGACTAGTCAATAGTCCAGTCAATACTTAGACTGGTCAATAGATCAGTCAATATATAAGTAAATAGACTAGTCAGTAGTCTAGTCTATAAAGTAGCCAATAGACTTGTCAAAATAATATTCAAGAGACTAGTATAAACTGGACAATAAAGTATACCATAGACTAGTCAGTAGACTGGACAATAGACCCTGTCAGAAGACTAGGCCATAGACTAGTCAATAAACTAGTTAATAGACTAGTCATTAAAATAGTCAATATACTATTCAGCAGACTTGTCAGTAAAATATTCAATAAATTAGTCAATCGACTTATCAATAGACTTATCAATAGACTAGTCAATAGTCCTGTCAATAGACTAGTCGCTACACTAGACCATGGACTAGTCAATAGACTATACCATAGACTTTTCAATAGGCTATACCATGAACTAGTCAAGTTTGTTTGAGTCTGACGGAGCTTTATGTTAGGATTCGTCTTCTCGTCAAGAACCTAATGTTCGACAATCTTGTACTAGACATGAAGTAATTTCCAAATTTCTTTTCAATATTTTTCAGGTTGGGGATTGTGCAGTATTTTTATCAACAGGACGACCAGATCGTCCCTACATTGGTCGCATCGAGTCAATGTGGGAAAATTCATGTAATAATAAAATCGTACGTGTACGTTGGTTCTATCATCCAGAAGAAACAACTGGATGTCCAAATTTAAAATATCCCGTAAGTTTAAGCAAAACATGCCTAAATCAAAATTCTGTAAATTACAAAAATAACATATATTTTTTTCTTCTAAAACGACAGGGTGCTTTATTTGAGTCCCCCCATGAAGATGAGAATGATGTACAAACGATATCGCATCGTTGTGAAGTTTTACAATTTGGTCGTTATTATAATAAATTTGGATCGGATTCAAAGCAATATCAATCGATATACGATAATAATGATACATATTATTTAGCAGGTTATTATAATCCAAGATTACAAGTCCTGAAACTACAAGATAATATTCCAACTCTAGAAGAGCAATCACAACCACAACAAACACTAAATAAAACAACTTTAATTATAAATAATGATATAATAAAAACAACAACAACAGCATCAGCAGCAAAAACAAATACAACTACTATTAATAATAATTCTAATTCTAATACAAATAATACTAACACTAATCTTAATATCAATAATTTAATTACAAATTAAATGCAAAACAAATTTAAACTTAACTCACACACACACAAACAAATACAAACAGATTAGCAGATTTAAAGAATATTGAGATATATATTGAGTACGATGATTGAAACCATTTAATGATTTTTATTATATATAAATTTAACAAAAAATACAACAAAAATTACATATTATTATATACATCCAATATATATATATTTAAATTTAAAAAATCTTTATTAGCATATAAAGCAAAAACAAAAATACTATATGTATACAAAAAAAAAAAAAAAAGAAGAAAAACTAACACCTTTTTATTATTATATTATATATACAATATATATATACTATATATATATAAATATTATATACTCTTTTTTATATGGCTGTCTACTGGTACGAAGACATTGGAATTTGTAATTGTTGTTCTGTAACAATTTAAACAAAAATGTAAAATTCCAGATTAAAAAAAATTCACGCAATAAAATTTTGTTAAGCATTATTTTTAAAAGAAATTATATATTTTAATAATCAATTTTTTTACAAGGTTTTTTACAAAGTTTACCTGGGTCCAGAAGATCTTTTAGTTAGAAGTAGGAACTAGAGCAAAATACGAAAAAGTTTGGGACCGTGTGGACAATCGAATAGAAATTTGAAGGATTGAGTAATAAAAATAATAAAAAAAAGTCGTAACCCAGATATCAAAGTATAGTTTCCTTAAGAATTGAGCAGCACTGAAGCCGAATCTGGACTCAACATTTATTCATCACATTAGGTTTTCCAGAAGTCGTTTAATGAAGTTTGGAAAAACCCCGTTTTAGGCCATATTTGAGGGGATATAACAGCGCACAGTATAGAAATGGAAATAAAAAAAGAGGAAAATAATTCTATAACTTCTAAACGGTTTTAGAAGGACCTTATAGACCTAACAGAGGCATAGTCAGAAATCCGCAAAGTAGGACACCTTAGATGTATTGAATTTTTTTAAACGATTCTATTCGTTTGTGTTCCGATCAAAAAAAAAAAAAAACTTATACATATAGAAGACTCAGGGCGGGTTTCTTACTACTCAGTTAAACTAGGCTTAACTTGCTGTTAGATTAAACTCGGAACAAATTTAGACGGACTTTAACCGATGATTGTGTTTTTCAGTTATGGATTTAAGTTTAGTTAACTTTGTTAGTATTGCCAACTTTTCACTCAAAAACATAAACAATGAACAGCTGTTTTTTGCAAATAATACTTTTGTAAAATGAAAAATTTTGGAAAAATGTTAAATAAACATTTAAAACAATAATAAATAAAACAAAACAAATTGGAAAATTGCAATTTATTTAAAATATTAAGTTTTTGTTCTTCCGAAATCATTGTTTTATTGTTTTTATTAATTGTGTCTTCTCACTTATAACTTAAGTTTAATTGGCCAATAACACTCAGTTAAACTAAGATAATAAGTAACGTTACTGTGTACTGAAAAACACAAAACATATATTAAACTAGGTTTAAACAAAGAATGTAGATTATCTTTATCTGAAAAACCCGCCCTCAATTATCTCTTGGAAGATATTAGCAGTTGAAATTGAAATTTTCAACATTTTACCAACCCAGTTTTTAGATAACAGCGGGTCCAACTAGTTCCCGATTTTGACAACATTTAAAGAAGCATTCAGCAAGATTAGAATATGTTCTATCTACTGTCCGATAACGTAAAGTTTCAAGAGTTGAACTAAAGTATAAAAGATAAAATTCATTATAACAAGTCGTTGCAAGGAAGGTCGGCGCATCCGTTTTTCAAGATTTTCAAATTTGCAGTGATCAAAAATCACCCCTATTCTTCATGTCGATTACGTTTCCTCATTCAGTGACGTTACGACCGAAAATAGGTATGCCAACAAAAAACGGAATCGCAAAAAAAAGAAGAAAGACGGAGCTTCGAATCGAAATGCAGAATACCAAAGTTGCCAAAACGGAGAAAATTTCGTTTCGAATTGAAATGTAAAATAGGGCTGAATAACTGATAACAAAGTACCTAACTGTGATCTAAGAAGACCTAAGAGATAGGCTGTCCTATAGGCCACAAAATCTAGTGATTGAGCAAATATAATCGTGTGATTATCGGCTTCAGCATGGTACCACCTCTTGCCAGTTCATCACTAATATTATTGCCATAAATATCCCCGTGTCCCTTGACCTATATAACAGTAATAGTTGAATGACTCTCTATCTTGTTTAGAGACGTCCAGCACTCATGAAGAAGTGTTATATACACTGATCAGGAATCGAAAAACTGTTTGTCTTTCAGTATAAATTCTGATATCCCATAGTATCTTAAACAGTTTGTTGTCCTCTTGACTTTGGGGAAAATGTGTTTGTGTGTGAAAGGAAACAGCTGTTGCTGAGTAAACAATCTTTGTGCAAATCGGAATCGGGACGTTCCGGGGCGAAGATCAAACTGCCATGTTATTTTGTTTGGTTTTTTGTATTTTAAAGAATTTCGTATCAGTTCCCATAGTCCGTATTCTGCATTGCAATTAGAATTGAAAATTTCTCCTCTAGACAACTTTGGTATTCTGCATTAAGGCGAAAATATCTCGAAGAAAGAAGATATGTCAGATATTAAGCTTTTAATTTAAAGTTGACGCAATAGACTATCAGATGGCATACAAAATTTTGTAAGTAAAGTTGTCATGACGGTGTTATAACGTTTCAAAAAGGGACAAAAATGGAGTTTTTCAAACTTCAGAACACGATATCTCAAATCCCAAATCTGAGGTTAGGTCTAAAAAATTACTTATACACAGCATCAGCATCATGTAATACCCGCATTCAGACAAAAGTAGACTTGGAACGGTTAATAACATGTTTTTATAAAGTTACACTAAAAAATAAATATAAACTTTGATCTAGGAATACGTTCTATTATTAAGCAATAAAATTCAACTCCAATTTTACAAAAATCTGGAGAAGACATTTGACAACTATATGAACAAAACAAAACGAACAACAAGAACGTAATGAAATTTTTATTATGTTATACAAACCCATAATTCCCCGCATAGTCTTCCAGTAGCAGCCAAAAACTAAAAATGGAAATATTTGTTTTTCAATGTATATTTAATTTAAATTAAATATTTTTTATAAAAGAAAAAAAAAAAAAAAAAAACAAACAACTAAAATTAAAATAAAAGTAAAACGAAACAGGTAACAACATTTTTGATACAAAAATTATAAATTATTTTTTACAAATTCGGCTTAAAAATTTAAATTCAATGGTAAACTTTTCGTAATAAAAAGATATTTATGAAATATTTTTTGTTTTTAATTTTTTTATACATACAAAATGAGTTTTTTAATGTTTTTTTGTTTAGTTTTAATTTTAAATGTTGTATATTTCAATAAAATAATAAAAAAAGAAACATAATTATAAATTATTTTTTAATTTTTATGTTTAAATAAAATTATATTTATGAATAAATATTATTATATTTAAAAGAAAAATAATAATAATAAACTTATTATAAAATACACTTACTACATATATTGTATTTTTTTAGTTTAAAATCGTGCAAATTATATTGTGAAAAACAGAGTGCAGATATAAATATATATTTTTATTAAAAAAAACTAAGAAAAAATATTGAAAAAAAAAAAAAATTCTATGAATATTTGAAATTTAATTAAAAAACTCAAACAAATTTTAATAAAAACTGACCTTTGTAGGCGGGGAATGTAAGGAACATTAAAAACAAAAACATTAACACACAAAAGTGTCAAGCTCCTGGATAATGTATGTTTTTTATTAGGGGATTTTAAAATTGTAACTACAAAATGGTGTCTGATTGATAGACTAGACTATAGACTAGACTATAGACTAGACTATGACTAGACTATAGACTAGCTATAGACTAGACTATAGACTAGACTATAGACTAGACTATAGACTAGACTATAGACTAGACTATAGAATAGACTATAGAATAGACTATAGAAGAGACTATAGATATAGACTATAGAATAGAATATAGACTATAGAATATAGAAAAGACTATAGACTAGACTATAGACTAAGACTATAGACTAGACTATAGACTAGACTATAGACTAGACTATAGACGAGACTATAGACTAGACTATAGACTAGACTATAGACTAGACTATAGACTAGACTATAGACTAGACTATAGACTAGACTATAGACTAGACTATAGACTAGACTATAGACTAGACTATAGACTAGACTATAGACTAGACTATAGACTAGACTATGACTAGACTATAGACTAGACTATAGACTAGACTATAGACTAGACTATAGACTAGACTATAGACTAGACTATAGACTAGACTATAGACTAGACTATAGACTAGACTATAGACTAGACTATAGACTAGACTATAGACTAGACTATAGACTAGACTATAGACTAGACTATAGACTAGACTATAGACTAGACTATAGACTAGACTATAGACTAGACTATAGACTAGACTATAGACTAGACTATAGACTAGACTATAGACTAGACTATAGACTAGACTATAGACTAGACTATAGACTAGACTATAGACTAGACTATAGACTAGACTATAGACTAGACTATAGACTAGACTATAGACTAGACTATACTAGACTATAGACTAGACTATAGACTAGACTAAGACTAGACTATAGACTAGACTATAGACTAGACTATAGACTAGACTATAGACTAGACTATAGACTAGACTAGACTATAGACTAGACTATAGACTAGACTATAGACTAGACTATAGACTAGACTATAGACTAGACTATAGACTAGACTATAGACTAGACTATAGACTAGACTATAGACTAGACTATAGACTAGACTATAGACTAGACTATAGACTAGACTATAGACTAGACTATAGACTAGACTATAGACTAGACTATAGACTAGACTATAGACTAGACTATAGACTAGACTATAGACTAGACTATAGACTAGACTATAGACTAGACTATAGACTAGACTATAGACTAGACTATAGACTAGACTATAGACTAGACTATAGACTAGACTATAGACTAGACTATAGACTAGACTATAGACTAGACTATAGACTAGACTATAGACTAGACTATAGACTAGACTATAGACTAGACTATAGACTAGACTATAGATTAGACTATAGACTAGACTATAGACTAGACTATAGACTAGACTATAGACTAGACTATAGACTAGACTATAGACTAGACTAGACTAGACTATAGACTAGACTATAGACTAGACTATAGACTAGACTATAGACTAG